CAACCTTGGAATATTTCTCTCTCATTTGGTATACTGATGTGTAGGCAGCTGTCTGAAAAATATAAGATTCTCTTTGGGTAATAAGAGCCTTTATAAAATAATACTCGACATATAGGACTAGGATTGTTCACCGAAACAAACAAATCAAGTACTCACGTGGAGATTGGTAGTCTCTAGGGCCCCATGCATGTTCTGTAGTTTGTAAATCACTTCTATTTCTGGCAGAAAATCCAAACTATTCACCTTCAAGAAGTCTCTTTCCACTGCATTAGAGTTACGAATTTTAACACCAAAACCAGAGAAGGAGGCAGTTCATGACCTTACCTTCTGCTTCTCCTGCCTTGCGACCTTGTCAGTGTCAAAGATGTAGCTGGATAACTTTTTTATATTGTCTTATTATTTGAAAGTAAGATGAAAAAAAAAAAGTGTTTTCTGAAAGAAAAGAAAAAACTATTCACAAATTCAGCATGGGACTAACTCTGAACAAGGAACAAAATCCCATTAAATTAAGGCCTGATAGCAGACAAGGCCATTTGAGCTCTGAAAAAAACCACATACCAGCATATTTATATTTTTCTCTCCAGGAAGAGGAGAGAGTTATACTCAGTAACTAACTTCCAGTAATGCATAGATGCCCATCATCATTGTATGATCACTTGTCTGCCTGACAATTAGCCAATACACTGATTTTTATCACTGGTACAACATTTTCTTCTTCTGCAGAAGCTCTCTTTAAATAGCACCCTTTATAGACAGCTGAAGTTCATCAACTGATGACAGGAACTAGACAGTGCCATCTGCCTTAGCAGCAGTTCAGGTAATAGCAAAGAAAACCTAATTGCCAAACATGAAATGTCCAGGAGTGGATTTTTTTTTTTAATAATGTCCAATTAAAAGTGGACCTATGAGACATTATGTGATACTTTGAAGAAGCACTTCAAGTCTGCTCTAATAGAGCTTTGCAACCAGTTTAATATTCAACCTGTGTTGAATATTATGTTATCACAGTTTTGTTCCTTTTGGTATCTAAAGTAGCTGGAAATCTTTGGTTAATACCCCATGGCACTTAGATGAGAGCTGGATACCAATGTGATAGCTATACTTAAGAGATATGTGCATTTTTCCTCCTTCCTGGACTCACAGGGGTATCTCCAGGGTACTGTAGAGTAGAGGAGGAGCTCAGTGGCAAACACAAGGGGTGACTGCTGACTCTGGGGCCACAGAGGCTAAGATGGGTAGGAAGCTTCAGACAGCCTCACACTTACGGGGCAAAATACTTTATTTCCTCCACAGGGAAAGGTTGAGAGCTCAGGACCGCATTTCCCCTTCTGAGGTCATTTTGCAAATATGTCAAATGGGAGGGAAGGAACATATTCAAACTGCAATGAAGATGACAGTAATAACTGCTTCTGGTTTTCATTCAAGAGCGATTTAGTTTAAAAGGCATAAACATAACTGGAGTCAGGGACAGTATCTCAAGTCTACCTCATCCCAGATAGATTTTCTCAGTTCTAGGCAACAGACTTAAGCTCTTTTCTGCCAGTGTTTCCTATCACAGAGATACCTTTTTTTTTTTTCACACAGTAGCCTGGGTTCAGCAGAATAAGTTCTTTGCCACCAGGTAGTCCGCAGAGAAATGGAAAGTACAGGGTTTGTCTTCCAACAGTGAAGTGAACCATGGACCTGGACCCACTCCCCAGGTGACGATGTACTGCATCACATAAACTAGTGTATCAAGAAAAGAGCAGCACTGTTTCAAGGGAGGAATAAACCAAGCTCTTGGCATTCTGGGTCACTTGCCTGTGCTCAAGAAGAGGTTGGAGCCTCTGGAGCTGCAGAGGTGTTGCCAACCTTGCAGCTCTGGATAGAATGCACCTGGAGAGTTCTCCAAACTCACTAATGTTCCTGCCTTTAGATGGATTTTAGCCCGCAGTATGTAGCATCACAGAAAAAATAGGAACCTTGGTGTGTGCTGCAGGCCTGTGAATACTATCCAGGCAGCCAACTGCCTGTCTCTGAAGTAGAGTACAGGTGAAAACAGAAGTTTCCATGAGCAGACTATCTTCAAGCAAAAACAAGTTGTTGGGACTACTGCCTGGTTCTTAGAGATTATCTGTACTATAGTAAAAATTTTGCATACACCTCTCAACAGCATGTTCTAATCAAGCTCCAGTAGGTATTTATGCTACCAAGTAAAATTATGTCACATTTAGAAGATCCTTTTCCTGGCATGTACACAAAATTTCTTGGACTTCTGCACTGATTAGAATATAATTTCTATATTGGGAATCATTAGGAAAATTAAAACAATGTCTCCTGTAAAATTAAACACAAGCTGCATGGGGAATCTGTACAGCTCTGTTCTCACTTTGGAATTTGGCAATAACACTCAGCCCTTTGGGCCAATATCTGTGCAATCTAGATGTATTATTATTATTTCTGAAGTGTCTATAACAGTGGTATCTACGCACTGAAGTTTGCCAAGACGCTCAACTCCCAAAGCAATGCCTTTCAAAAACGATTCAAAAAATTAACTTTTCTACTACATTCTAAACTGTAGCACACTTATAAAAGGTCACATTCTGAAAATTTGCATGAAACAGACTCAACACAGCAGACATCAAGAGAAGAAAGGCATTACTTCATCTTAATACTGCCTGTCCAGATGCATTCAAACTAATTAAAAATATGAGAATTTTTAAAGAAGAATCGTGTTTGCTTTGCTTCTGAGTCACCAGGGATGAGAGCATCCAGTTTTATGCCCACTAGTTTTAAGTTTAGCATCAGCAAAATCTGTGCTCCATCACAGATCTCCAAATGAAAATCTGTCCTTTTCCAGAATACAGTACGCCTGTCTTTTTATTGAACTTCTTAATCTCTTGAAAAGTGTCCTCTTTTTTTTTTTTTTCCAGACTCTCTGCAGACTGTCTTTGACAGGATTACAGGAACCATGTCTAAATTATGTTTCTCTATGAAGCAGTCTTGGACTGCCACATTCTCTCTGATCCAAATTCCCATGAGCTAAAAATGTTGGATTTGGCAAGTCTGCAGTTACACATGGCCTCCAGCTGTTCTGTGATAGGTTAGGAAATAAACTGGCCTTCATCCAGCTCAAGGGATTCATATCAAAAGCTGTGTAATAAGTATTATATCTGTGCAAATGTAAACATTCACATTTTATTCCCTTTTTTTCAGCAGTCCACAGATAATTTTCATATTACTAATAAAACAGGAAAAAATGGCCTTTTCTTCTTGAAAGAGAAATTACATATTTAATTCAAGTTGAGAACTATATGAAATCTTTAGCATTAAACACAGCCTCCCAACAAGCATATATAAAAATTAAAGCTACTCCGCATTTTAAGCAATATATGCACAGTTTTCATACAGAAACAGTGGTTCAGAAAAGACTGAGCATTCCTTAAAACACGTGTAAACAGCTATATTTTTGTTCCAAACATTAGTAGTAGATTAATGGCATTTTTCAGTCTTTTAAAGCCACACATACAGGAATTGTGTGCATTTTTCTATAAGAAATTAGAGTGATACGCTTTACTGATAGGATGTATGAGCAACAAAAAAAGCAAAACAAAACAAAACAAAACAAACTAAAACCAACCCTTTAAACCTTTTACAATGAAATAAAATTGTCCATAATCAGCACAGAAATGAAAATCCGCTCATTATCCACTGATCCTTATCACCAAAATGCAATATAAATAGCGCCTGATAAAAGGCCAAGAACTCTGTTTCTGAAGCAGCAAAATCAGATGGGTCAGATACAAAAATCCTCTGAACAGGACTCACAAGATTAAATGCAAACCAATTTGATATTTAAACAGAATGTATGGCATCGGTTCTTAGGTGAAATAATAATGTGAAGTGATAATAGATATCAGAGACATGACCAATCAGACTAAACAGTCTAAAAAAGTAAGTTAGTGATTGCATTAGTGCTTTTTGCTGGTAAATCACTGTAAGAATCTAAGCCAGTCTTACCATAGTAGTTATTTTGCTAGAATCATGATTGAAATTTCTTAGCTACTCAGCAGGCACCAAGAGAATGATATACAATGAAGGAATTGAACTTCAGAAAACTTTTGACAAATAACGATATTCTGAGGCTGGTATGTGCTTTGAGTGTAACTGCCTACACTTCAGTGAGATTAAATTTTTATTAAAAGACTTTTTTCTCCTTTTTTTCCCTTACCGTGAAAATTTGTATATCCTGCTGTTTTGAGACATTTCTTTTTATCAGAGGAAAAAATAACAAGGATTAAGAAAAAAATGACCTAAATAATAATAATTACATTTTCAATAATAAAAGATGTAATTTGAAAATTATTTGTATCACAACTGTCTCTATACACCCCAGTTGAGATTATGCTAAGGTTAATATTGGCAAATGGTGAGATACAAACCTGGTCCAAAGAGTTTGCAGAATAAGTGAGAGGTATCAGGAACTAAAGTAAGTCTGTAAGTGACAGCTACCAAGTTTCTACTAGAGATTTTGCTGCTGACCTCATGTGGAGAGTCTTACGAAGGGTTCAAATAATATGGTGCTGGCTACAGCAGTCTTAAAATGGATTCTAGGATCCTAGGATATTTAGGATGATATAATTAAGATACATAGAGAAAACAAAACAAAAAAGGAGGAAATAGAGGAGGCTTGTACCAAACTGGGAGATGTACACATGCACCACGAGCCCCCTATTTGCACTCTCACACATATTTGGGTACCCTGGGCACTCCCCCACTGCCCATTGCCTGCAAATCAGAGCAACCAAGAGATCAGGACCCTGCCAAGTGCCACAGCACACACCCACAGATCAGCTCAAACATAACCTCAGTGCCTTGTTCGACATCAGAAAAAAAAGTCAGGGACCATTCTGGAGGAGAAACAAGGATTCCTAGCTCCTAGTCAAAAGACTCTACAGATTTATATTGTGAAAGCTGACTGGGAAGAAAATAAATATGCAGTTTAGGAGCATCATGGAAGTATATGGAAGAAAATGACCTCCTACCACAATCACTCTGTTACCAAACACCCAAGCAGACTCTGCCTGTACTTCGCAAGGATTATGCTACTCCCCCCTCCTCCAGTAGATTTACCTCCTGATCAATAATAAAGAATTTGCTTTCCCCAAAAGGTCAGGCAGACTAGAAGTAAAACACCTTTGTGTGTAATCACAGAAAAAGAAAGAACTTCAGCTTTCGCTGATTAGCGATTACAAGATTAGCCCTGGGAGTAAAAATTCTGTAAGATTTATAACTGGAAAGAACTTTTATAGGCCTTGTGGACCATCTGGTAGAATTTAACAGAAAATTATGCTTGCATCATAGAATTCTTTGCTGGCACTTTCCATTACTTCTAGGGCTTTTTCTGTCAAGGACCTCTCCATACATTTTGCTGACACTAACATTCCCTGAGTGAAAGAATTAGTTCTGCACTCATTATAATGGACAACTTCTCTCTACTCTTTCATTCTATCATTGTAAATGAAATAGTAACACTTAAAAAGGACATTTTGGGCCATTTACTTGCAGGACATTATGCAATTCTGTTCCTTCCTTAACCTATAAGGCAATACAGCACTGCACATCACATATGCCCTATAGCTCCTCTGCTGTTCTCTTTACCAGACTCTTCAAAAAAAAATCCAAAGTCATGGTTCTGCCATTACTTGTGTCTGTAGGAGAGCAGACTATTGTAATATAGCTTGTATTTGGTAGTACTTGAAAGTCTGCTTTTTCCTCTTATTCAAACTGAAGTCTTTCCTTCTCCCTCCTTGTGACCAGCTTCTCATAGGAGACCTAGTTTGGAACAGCAGTGCCATAAAAAAGACATCATGATAGATTCTCCATGATGTAAATTAGAGTGCTCCAGTTCAATCACATCCCCATCAAGGTCTTCAAATGAAACCTCCCACTGAGATAGAAGCTATTGGATTTCCATCTGTGTGTCTCTTGCTGTCAATGGTTATTGTTTAAGTAAACATTGGTTTGTATTACTTTCTTTTTTTTCTTATTCAATACATGTTGATGCCTGGTTAAAAGGAAAGAAAATTGCAGTATTAAAAGACTAGTATTTTCAGCATCTTGTGATGTAAATTGCTAATTTAAAACCCAAAATATTGTTAAAGTGTCTTTATTTAATAGCAGACGATTGCAAGCTGTAATTTGCAAGCTGTAGTTGCAGATGGCAATGTTTTTCTCTCTTTTCAGCAGTACAGTAAAGTATTTACTGCAGTGATCTGCAGACAATGACATACCAACTGCAAAAGAAATACTCAGGGGTAATACAAACTATCAGAATTCCCATAAGGTCCACAATGGAAGGACCTGCAACTAAAGCATGAAATGTAAATGCCAATTAAAACATTCAAACCTCTTACATAGTCTCAAATAACAACTCTTTGCAATAGACATTTTTAGTACTTTCAATTGCCAAGTATTTTTCTAATATAAAACAACAACTCTTGTTCTCTTTCCTGATTTTTAATCTCTTTAGATCAAACACACTCATTTTCCAATTCAGACCTAGAGGCCCAAGTCTGGATTTGAAACTGACAGCCACCATCTGGACCACACCAGCAGAAAGGGTTATATGTGATCTGGCACGTGTAGCATACCGTTCCACTTTTTGTACATAAGGACATGCCAAAACACCAAGAATGTATTAAACAAAAGCTTTGTCTTTTATTTCATTTTGTTAAACAACTCCTTAATGTTTATTTTTCAAGAGAAAAATTATTTAACATCATCTATTTAACAATATTGTATGAAACATTTAAATACAGCATTCTGTAGTGCCATCTAGGGGATTTAAAACCTGGAATATAATGCTCATCTGATTTTCAAAAAAACCCCAGACCATAAACATTAAGAAATCAGCTATGACTGCCAGAGCAATTTCTTACGTATATCTAGTGGTTTGGATTACTTTTTCCTGCTACAATAGGAATATTTGAACAAGGTCCATGTATAATGTCATATCTGTAGAATCCATAAATAGGAGATGTATTATTCTATACTTCTCCTTTATAGACAAATAATTCACAAAAGCAATCTTAAAAAAATATCCCAGATATCAGTGTCATGTTCTGAAATAGGATTTAGAAAAAAATTTCTAGCCTTAGTTCAGTTACCAGGAAATACATGAGGGTTTTTTTGCACAACAGATATTAATAAAAAAAATCAGACATGTTATTGTATAAAATTACAGGAAACTGAAATAAAACAAGAGAGCTACTGGCACTTTCTTCAATACTTAGCTTCATTCGTATTATTTTTTATCTAAAATTTCCTGAACCAGATGCCATTACACAGTAATGTCCAATGCATTACTGAATAAATTGTTAGGAATTATTAACTTTGTATCATATTGATAGCTAGGATGATCTATAAGCTCTTTGAACACATTTGCATTTTCTTTCCTTACAGAAACCAACGATAACAAGTGCACACATTAAATAAGCGATCATTCAGAAGGGAAATGCAGAGAAAAAAATCAGACTGTAAACCAGAGAACTACAAGCCTACCTTAACTCAGACCACAGAATAGGTCCATTAGTTCATTACCAACACATAAAAAGAGATATTTCTGGATCATCAACAGTCTTCAGCTGCCAAAATGTCATTGAAAACGATGAATAATTGACACAAGTAGAGAACCTACATACTCACTCACATGATCTTGCATTTTTTCATAGTCCCCATAGATCAGTTTCCAACCATCGGGATGCAAGACAGGACCATTACTTTGCTTTTGAATTTCCAGACCTCACATTTTGACATTCTATCTGGAAAACATGTACATTAAACATTTACAATTATTTGCTGAAAACTACTTGTTCATAAGGGTAAGATTTGAAAAGCACCTATTAAGTGTTCTAAGAACACATATAACGTCTTTTGACGTGCCTTTCATTTGGAGCTATTTTAGGCAGTATTCAGCCTTTGATCCTGAAAGAAGCTTCCATTTTCAGCTGATTGCTCCCAGCTCCTCCATCCTCTCACTGCAGTGTCACCCAGACGTATTATCCTTTACATCCTCCAGTCACCCACCCTACACTCCTTCTCACCTCCCCAGTCCATGTTCCTGTGTCTTCTTCTCTACATTTTTTACCACATTGCACCAACCCAGTGCTACCCTCTGTGCCTGCCTAGGCCTCTACCTTGTGCTCCCACTTAGAAGGACAAAACACAACACTGCCTTGGGCACTTGAGAGTGCATAAGGGAACAAACTGATACTACACATCTTCTGATCAATGGTAATTGTAGTTCAATGGGCTCTTGCCCAATGCAGATCAACAGGTATATCATAACTTAATGAAAGGAAAGGTAGAGGCCTTGGATGTGTATTCCTATGGGAAGTCATTCCACTACCTGTAATTAGCCCACAATGTCTTAAAAGGGATTTATAAGGGATGATGCAGTATCTGAAAGTATGATTCTGTTGAGTGATGGTAGATTCACTCCCACCTCCTGCAGCGGCTCCAGCCAAGGACCCTCTTGCCCATCTGCTGGAGTCCAGCCCGGTGCCTGGGCACCTATGGTCTCTGCCCAGCCTGAAGAACATGGCTGCTGCTTTCCCAATTGCAGGTTCAACCAGTAGCAAAGCTGCACATACGTCCCAGAGACACACACGCACGTGCACACACACACACAGACACAAGGACACAGAGAACACTGACACGGCTGGTCACACAGGCTGCCATAGACAAGGTGCTGCCTTCAACAGCACCTACATACAGAACTCACAAAACACAAGCCAGACATCCAAGTCCCCTCCTCCTCTTCAGCTGGTAGAGACAGGAGGTCAACAGTGCAGGCATACACATGACAATCTCTAGATTCATGAGCACACACATATTCACAGTTCCCTTGAGTACCAGCACAGTCCCTCTGTCCATCCAGCACCCAGGTGCCTTACTCGCCATCTCCTCTAGCTTGATGCTCACTAGGAAACACACACACTCACACACATCCCTCACACACTTCACATTTGCAAGTCTCTATGGATGTACCAGCACAGACCACCTAATACCCCAGTCCCCCCCTCCCCCTCCCCTAGTTGGGAACACATAGAGTTCCTGTCCTAGTGGCTCAAAATTAAAGATCCCCACACGCTACAGCAGAGGCCCCACTGGCTCCAGCAGCTGACACCACAGACACCCTCATCCCTGGCCTGATTCCAGTAGCTAACACAAAACCCATTGACACACATACAGATCTCACAAGTGACTGGTACTTAGTCCTTGCAACACACAGGCACAGGGGACAGAGAGTGAGGATACACAGAGAGACAGTCAAGAAAGATTTAATAAGACATAAGAAGATAGGACATACTGCAGAGATCAGGTGCAGGGCTTGGTCAGGCAATGTATTGACCAGCCCCATTTTACAGGTGACCAGACTCCTTCCCCTCCAGGTTCTCCCTGGATTTGTACTGATCTGTCTATCCTTGGTCACCTCCTGATCCAGGGTCCCCCTGGTTCACAATTTTATCAGTTGCAAAGTCCAGGTTGATCTTCCTGAAAGTAGCATCTGTGGTTCTTTGATAGCTCATAATTATTGTGAGTCAAAAGGTCTGTGTCTTCTCACTGTCTCCATGTTTGCTTTATCAGGTCTGTGTCTTGGTACCTCTTGGTTTCTGGTTTCCCCCTTTATCCCTTGGATTCCCAGCTGACAAGGTGCCCCAAGGTCTCCAGATTGCCTCACTGGAATAAACATTCTGACTCTCACATAGGTCCCCATCAGTTAGAGTGATTGATCAGCTTTAGTTCCCATCACTGACTCTCTTATCATTTGTCCACCAGGTTTGTATCCTTCTATGTTCTTGTTTATGGCTTCCTCCTTTTCCAATTATCCCTTGTCCCCTGACGTTGAAAAGGTCCTTGACCAGATACCCTAAAAGCAGCAGACACTCTCCTGTCACACAGCCTTCCACACATTCTTTCATCCTGTGAAAAGGCACACCAGAGGCTCTGCCTTCCCCATGCTGGCTGATGTTGCTGACCTACCTGCCTATTTCTCCTCACTTTTTTTGTGGAACTGTTTTTGTAGCTTATTGTTTCCTTTACACCAGCAGTGACCATAGATAGAGTACTGCTAACGGAAGAATGATCATCTTTTTTTTCATTTTTCAATGAACACAACTATGCAGAATATTAGCCCCAAACTAGAAAAATAGTCAATATGTTTGAGATTTTCCAGGGAGCAGGACCTAAACTAGCTTGAAAATTTTGAGTGACATAAAGTTTGAAGCAGTGTTGATATAGAAAAGGATAAAAAATATGAGCTTTACAACAGCAATTATTTTTGAGGATAACAATCTGTTCACATAAAACACCATCTATATTTAAAATAAGAAGTCACCGGAGATAAGGGGAATTACAAAGCAATGAGACTCACTGTGGTTTCAGAGAAAGTAATTAAGAGCCTAATTAGGGACAAAACCATACAAAAACAAAAGTAAAGCTTGATGAGGAAAAAAGCAGCAAAGCTTCCACAAGAGGAAAGCACTTTTTCTTACCCTGATGTATTTCTTAGAGGCAACGAACACTCAAACAAGATTTTGTGGGCCAAATTCAGGAACTTGAAAAAAGCAACTAATCCATGGAAAGGGCAAATTTTACTTCACGGTAGTATAAGTTAATGTACCCAAGCAGTAAACTGATAGCCTGGAAAATTAGATCTTACTTCACCATACCCAGATTGTGCACCTGGTATCTGATAACCACAATGAAGTGGGTGCTCAAGGTGATTCTAATTGACTTGCTATACTTTGCATGACAAAACTGACAGTTAAGGTATCTGTAACAGTATAGTATTGCTACAACATCCCTATATGGACAGCCATGAATTATACATTATGGTTTTATTGGAAAATACAGGGGTAGAGGAGAGTTATGTATCTGGTCTACTGTCACAATAAATAAACATCAGTTTGGAAATAGCACCTGAGTCTCCAGATTACCAATAACAACTATATTTTTACTTTTCTTTGCAGCTCTATACCAATAACAAAATATGAGGAGTGAGGCTGGAAACTCACTGGAGCTTCCAGTATGTTGCTATAGAAGACTGTAAAAGACCTCATGGGGTCAATCTAGATTGACTGAACAGGGAATGCTTTTGAAGGATGCCAGGGAATAAAAGCAGAGCATGATTTTGATGGACAACCAGGGATCAGAATTGTGCAGGCAATTTAGACACATCCACTGAATTCTCTACTGACTACAGGAGGATCAAGGCAAAAGCTATGCCCAAGAATATATTGCAGTTCAATAACATTCATGTAGAACATCAATTTTGAGTTTGTTCATTTGTTTTTTTCAATTTACATTTTCCAACCAGAACTTTCTGTCAATATGATTTCCAAGAGGCTTAAGTTGTATTGCTTCAGGGGCAATCAAAATGTCAGAAACTCACAAACACAGAGCATCCCAGACGAAGGGGAAATCTCCTGGAGGCTTACCAAGGTTAGACTACTGCATCTGCCTCTAGGGATAAGGGTGCAAAGAAAATGCAGACAGAAGTCAAAGTAGTGTTCTCTTCTATCTTTCTGGTCAACAGGATAGACCCAGAGAGAAACAGACATCCATGGCACAAGAACAGCTGGATGCATTCCTGAATCACCAGTAATGCTTTGTTTTCTTTCTTCATAGTGCACTAGGAGACAGACACGGTGACCTAACAAGGAGAGCTTTGAACGAGGGGCTCTATGTCCAGAGGTAAATTAGAAAGCAGTGTATATAAAAGTCTGCATAGGAAAGGGCAGCAAAGGCACAATCCTGCTTCATGCGCTTCCATACTAATGCTCAGTGCTTGAACATGAAACAAAACAGAAACCTGAAGTTATCTTGGTAGAGGTAAACAACAACAGAAGATGCAGCCAACAATAACAGAAGCTGCAGCTTGGAAGGTTCAGGCTGGACTTCTAAAGCACTCCTCACTGGGAGAGTAGTGCAGCACTCAGTAGTCAGCAGACTCACTGAGCTGCATATTAACTAGAGGACTTCTAGGCATTCTTTCCAAACAATTCTAGGATTCTGTGACATATTTAATGTGCTCCATCTGCTAATTTGAATGCAGTCTATGGGATAGGACTACTGCTCTTCTGAAGATAAACACCTCAAAACTAAATAATGTGAACGTCAGCTTCTCAGCATCATCTTGGTCTACAAATCTGCTCCTACCATGTTGCACTACTTACTAAAATATACATAGACAAAGAAGATAGTTTTAATACCTGTAGGAACTTAAAGGTTACTGATACAAACCCAGTATGATTTTCAAGAATTTCAATATCCACCTCTATTTCTTCTAACACAAAGTTGAATCCTTTTGAAAAATCCCCTTTGGCATCTATCTCAATCTTCAGGCACCTTTTAAAATTTAGCCCTAAATTCTCTAAGCTCCTTTGGAAAATCCTAGCCTTTATCCCTTTAGGAATGAAAAGAATGAACTGCACAATTCGAAGTTAAGAAAAAGTAATAACTCATGCACATAGTATCAGCAAATTAACTACAAATATGTGCTTAACATTCTTCAAGAGAAAAGCCCTGCAAAAGATAGGACACATCAGAAAGCTTATAAAGCAAGATAACCATTATTTTCAATATAATTCTTCTAACCTGATTCTGAAGTCCTCATTTTAAATTATTTAATGGTTTTGATCAGGCCACAGTGTTTTTTTCATCATTCGTTTCGCTGACTAACATAAGAAACATAATTATCCGTCAATTTTATAAAGTTTGCAGTTCATCACATTTTTAATATTATAGAATTAATCAT